GAAAAATTATTCCGAACATGGTTTTTCGGCGACCATTGAATTTTGAATTGAAGCGTGTTTAGGGGTGCCCGAGTAGCGAAATTTGACTTTATCTAATGGTATCAAGCGTTCTCATACTGCTAGTTGAAAAGAGCATACAAAGTTGCATATTTTGATCCGTAAATGAGATTTTCGCCACTGATATTCGGAAAGAATTTTTGACTGGAGGACCTTATCGACCTTAGCAGATACCATTGGTTTTATGGAGTGTTGGACGAGCTCAAAACCTAACAAAACACAACTTTCTTTATAAATTACCCATAAAGTGACATGCTGAATCCGAATTTTAGGTTAGTTTGGATTCAATATTTATGAGCGGCTGAGGATTTTGACGGGATTTCTAGAAAACTGCCACAAGAAAAACCACCTGGCCAAAGTCAATATCTTGCGCCTTTTGTAGCACTAGTCGACTACTGTATTGATTAACAAGATCTCGAAGAACTGATGTGTAGTTTTTGAGGGAGGAGGCCAGGAAGAGCCAAAGTAGGCCTCACCGCTACGCGTACGATGAAGAAGTAAAAAGTGCTAGAGACTTCATTGTTGCGTCAAACGAACAAACTTGGAAGCCGCTTTCATTTGAATATAAACAAAGTTATGTTTTGTTAGGTTTTGAGCTCGTCCAACACTCCATAAAACCAATGGTATCTGCTAAGGTCGATAGGGTTCTCCAGTCAAAAATTCTTTCCGAATATCAGTGGCGAAAATCTCATTTACGGATCAAAATATGCAACTTTGTATGCTCTTTTCAGCTAGCAGTATGAGAACGCTTGATACCATTAGATAAAGTCAAATTTCGCTACTCGGGCACCCCTAAACACGCTTCAATTCAAAATTCAATGGTCGCCGAAAAACCATGTTCGGAATAATTTTTCCATGGGGCGATAGGGGTCTTTACACACCATTAGTAGGACTATCGATTGCAAATAGTCAAACCTTCCCGGCTTTTAGCTAGTGTAATACTGGGCGGACCTGTGCGGAAGTACCCTCTTCTCAAATTCGAATATGAGTCGGTAGTGAACAATATGTGAAGAGAAAAAGCACAGAAAGTCTACACGCTAACAACAGCAAAATACATCGTCGTAACCCAGGTCGATGTTTCCGATCGTCGGAACCGACTGGATCCGACATGATCTGATATTAGACTTCACCGGAAGTCATCGGATTTTGACGAAATCCGACCGTAAGCCATTTAACTAATATATTTAAGCTTCTTCAATTTTTTCACATGTTCAAATGCATAAGAAAACTTTCTCGTACGTTTGATGGAGTCACATGTATTCCAATTAATTTGATGCGTTCACACGCGTTAAGGGTTAATATATTCAAATGCATTGAAATCGTTTAATGCAGTCGAATGTATCAAAATTGTTTTTTCGTAAAGAATGAGAAGTTGAAACATTTTTCTATTCGATGAGATGTACAAAAATTACCTCAAAATGAAACCAGGATTTGGGGAAAACCTACAGTCCTACTTTCATGTAACCTGACTTCTATAGATAGTTTTGTGTTAATAATTTAGTTAAATGGAGTAAACATTTCTGAGGAAAATAAGAATATATAAATGGAATACAGTCTGATGAAAGAGAGGTCGTGGAGAGCTTCGAGATGTCTTATTTTATTCAGAAACGTTCTTCAGTCGTACTGAACTGTTTGAAAAGAGTTTTTGTTCGAAACTGGAGTACCTGTAAAAGTTCAAGCACATACACAGCATGATTTTTCTGCTTTTGAGCTACAGCTTTTAATCTTACGACGAGATTTATAAGACGCATAAATTCGGCTAGCTATGTACACCTACTTTTGATGATTATAATGTTGTGCAAGAGCTCTCTTGTTCTCAATTAATTTCTCTCACTTGCGTTTTCATTATTAAAAATGTAAAAAATTGCTCAGATTCCTATTCTTGTATCTGATATCATGTTCTTTCTTTTCACAACCTACTTATGTGTATCTTATCTATTATCAAAGATGATATAATGGGTAATATAATGCAGTTGCACTTGCAAGTTAGAAGTTAGAAATGATTTCAATTTACATGTATTCTTATTCATAGATTAATTTGAACAAAAAGACTTTTCTACTTTTCTCTGTTTGTCAGCATGAAATATTGCTTGTGGATAAGGACTACAAGTTTTTCGTTATTTGATTAATTGTATATTCTATATCAAATCCATCATCATCGATACATAATCTTATTCTAGAACAATCTTGTCTAATGGGACCAGCACCTGTTATAACAGGTGCTGGTCTGTTATACCAAATTTAAACGGATTTAATGATAATGATTTAGGTGCTCCTGGATCTAAACGAAATGGCATTTGTATTTGATGTTCAGTTCCAGTCTCATCATGAAATGTCAAATTTAGTAGCGGTGTATAGATGGCAAGACCACTCGAATCGTCCAAATACACTAATTGTCCTTGTAGTACATCAACTTTAACGAGTGATAAGTCATATAATTGCATTAATTCTGTAGAGGACCTAGAAAATTTTCCAAAAATTGGTCCCTTCTCGTGATATGGTCATCTATGAATGCAGTCAAAAGCATTAGAATTTAATATATTTCCATGAATTAAATAATTTTAATAGGTTTAAATCTATTAAAATTTTTAACGCGTTAAATAGCATTGAATTTATAAGACCTTAAAAGTAAAATTGTCATTAAAACGCGTAAAAACGTTTTTCATTAATTTCATTTTAACGCGCTTAATGCGTTAAAATAATTTAATATGAGACTAAAACGCGTTTTTTCCTTGGGTTAATGTATTAAACAATCCATTTTGATTCGTTTTAACATATTAATGGCTTTTTAATAGATTATAACTTTCTTTTTAAGTCAATTCACGCATATGAGTTTATTCATATTTAATGCTGTTAAATGCGTTAAAAAATAGCTAACACATGCGAAGAAAATTTTTGATATCAAAAAATTCATTTGGATAATTAGCCCCATTAATTTTTCGCATTAATGAAGTATGTTTTCAAGATAGCGGTGGTGACAAAAAAATGTAGAAAATTGAATTCTGCATCAAATGATATTGTTTTTGGAATTGGTCAGCTAGACCAAACGGTCAGTGAGCATGAAAAAGACGTTAATCAATCGTCTTTGTGTCAGAAAATCATTTTTAGTAATCGCTGTCTCAATACAAAGATTCACAACTCGTTTACTCTTAAACACTAATCAAACTGAGCTCGTTTTTAAATATTAGAAAAATTCTCTATCGATTTTTCCCGGTTTCGGCAGCTTGAGTGATCTTTATATGTGTTTTTCATGTTATCTTCTTAATATTTGCATTTGTAGAAAAAAATAAATGAGAAAGCAGTTCAGTCATATGTTTTAGAGATTAAAGCAAAGCTGAGCAAATCTGTATAATAAATATGAAGCCGATGAGATACAATTTTTTTCTTGCTATTATATTGCAGAATACACATCTCCTTACCGTGTGCGGATTTTCTCATCATAATTCTCAAAATATTATGAATTATTATTTAAAATTATAATGTTTAAAAGATATTTAAATATGGATGCCGGAACTTGATTTTTATTAGATCAAGTTACTGATCAGGAAGAATCTTTTTAAAAAGAACATCAAGTTAGCTCAGTTTCAATGTGACTTCTTTAACTCTGAACTTAAGTTTTCAAATAATGAAATTTCTGCTCTATTTGTTCTTTTTGACCACGCTTTCCTCTGCGACTTTTAAGAGCTTTACCGCAGCTTTACATTATGTTGATGAATCCAACTTAGTTACATTCCGTTTGCATCTTTGAATAGGTAAAAAAGGCGTCGATGTGTAAACTACACTTTTTTTTTTCAAACTACACTTCGAGCTTTCGTGATACCATTAAGAAAGCTTTAGAGTATTTGTGGCACACCATCACATAATATGTCGTATATACTTGCACAACTTAAACTAATTATATATCCTGGAAGAAGAACATTGAAGAATTTTTAATGTATTGCGTTTTTCATGTTTAGAATTGAAAACGTGCATAAATGCATTTTTACAGTTATTATGTTTTTTTTTTATTATGGCTGTAACGTAGCAATTTTAACATTAATGGCGCTGATAATATATCTTACAAGTTCAAATTGAGGTTGAAAAAGAGTGCATGCAGTTTTCTTTTCAATAAAACGAGTAAATTGTGTGACAATAACTATGACTACTAAAAAGCCAGCTCAACAGCTAATCCAAAAACGTATCGATAATTATACTCAGACCTATCCTCCACTTGACTTTTCTTTCCACAATGCACAACGAGTAGAAGGTAGCAAATATTTTCGTATTGAATGTCTAGCAAAAATAAAACGTACATGTTTATTTGTTTAGATGCAATGTCAGCTGAACCTCGTGTAGCCTCACATGCACCGCTATTAGTTAAAGAAGGCGAACAATATCTTTCAACAGGAATTAATTTAAATCACAATATGCTTAGTGGTAACTTAGAAACGTTTCCAGAATTAGTCAATTTATTATTAGTTGACCCAAATATGCTTCAATCATTGGATTTATCGTTCAATATGTTCAATGAAGTACCCGCAGTAAGTTTCATTAAGTAGAAGTTGTGGCTATAGGTATATGATTAAATATTTAAAGTTTGTGTTGTTAAAGTTTAAAGTTGAGTGGTGCTAAGAATTTCAATAAGCGTACTCGACGCAACATTCACTTTCAACATTTCAACATTTTTTTTGTAACAATAGTCAAAAGTATTCTAAACTTTATTAATATCTGGCTATCTTTTAACTTCGCTCATAGAAGAAATATTTGGTACCATTGTCAATAATTTATTTTAGTCAATTATTCAATTCACATCGCTAAAGTATTTATATCTGCACAAGAATCTGTTGAATGATATAGGTGAAGTTAAAAAATTAGTTCAATTGAAGGAATTAAAATATTTAACATTACATGGAAATCCAATCGAAGTTGCTGTACCATATTTGCGATCGTATGTTCTCTATTTACTTCCATCTTTGAGATCTTTAAATTGTACACCAGTAACAAAAGCCGATTTAAAAACAAGTAACACATGGGGAAAAATGAATAGAACAATTTTTAAAACCGTTAAAAAGCCAACAAACAATTGACAGATTTTTGTATATATTCTAGGAATCAATATTCTTTGTTGAAATTTATTTTGATTCTTTTATATTTACTGTTTTGTCACAATTGTCAGTATTTTTAAGATTTTATATTTTTAAAAAAACGTTTGATAGAATTACTCTTAATCGATTCGATGAGTATTATTTTTACTCATAAACTTATCGACTACACTGTGACAGGAATTTTCTAAAAACGAAACATGAGTGAGAGTTTTCCAAATATTTTGAAAACTTTTGCCCCATTTGAAAAATTATCTGCTTCAATTTTGAAGTTTTTTTATAAAAACGTTTCGAATTTACTTAGTACGAAATTTGCTGTGTTTGCATTCCGAAAAATGTGCAAAATCATCAATGTGCAATGATCATAAACAATCATTGTCATTTTTCATTTTAATTCATCGTTGATTTTACTCGATCAAAACATTTCAAAATATTTTTAACAGAATACGGATAATTTTGATAAGTATTGATCAAACTTAGCAGTTTTTCTCGGATCTTAAGTAGATAAACTCACAAATGTCTTACTTTTTCTGACAAATGTTGAGCACACATACTGCACAGTGGGCATTTTTCGCCAGAGCAGGCGGACATTAACTTTATAAGTGGACTGAAATTATCTGAACCACTTTCTATAGGTTTTCGACGATTCTCTTTCCAATGGAATAGTTTTTCAGTTTCGACAAAGTTTTCCAGTGGGTTTTCCACAGACCGGATTTGTGGAAAACCCTTTGAAAAACGTTTTTAAACTGAAAAAACCATTCCATTGGATAGAGCATCGTCGATAACCTATAGAAGCAGTTTTCTCAGACCTTCCACGGTTTCTCTCTTGAATTTTCAGCGGAAAGTTCTTCGTGTGAATCCCAAATGTAAGGAATTTATAGAATTCAGAACGGAAGGACCGAATTCAGATGAATTATATACCATCCTTGCAGTTTTTCACGGTGATTCCGAATATATATATATCATGTAGGAAAAAATGTTTTTT